TTACTCCTCGCGGTGACGGGCTCTCTTTGTTTATAGTCAGTTTTCAAGCAGTTATACGAGTCGGAGTTTCGTGGTGGCCACCGTTGTAGTTTTAGTTCTCGTGTTTTTAAAAGTTTTTATTTTTCCGCGTAGACATTCGACGATTTTAACATTTCGCGTGGACAATCGATCAGTTTTATGAATAGTTTTTAAGTTATAATGTGTGCCTGCCTGAGGATGCCCCCCATGCGGGGCGAAACGTTGCGGATGCGTAGGAACTAATGTTTCGATTTTTTATGGCTGCAAGCTGAATAAATAAGGTAAATTTCCTATAAATATTACAGCCATTTTATCTTGATATATATATGACATATATATTCGTGATCTACGACTCGAGATCGGTGCTCTTTAGGGACATGGTCCCAGGTCTAGGTCCCACCATGAGGGAGACTGCAAACCAGTCCTGGAGGCAAACTACCATCCTTACAAATTTCAGCTCCAAATATTCATTTTAACTCGAGTTATCGAGTGGACAAGATTTGACCTCCCCCCCCCCCAATTTCGAGCCCCACCCCTCAAAATCTGTTGCCTCAAATTACAATTTTTTTTCGCAGAATAGTTGCTCTAATGAGTCTCTACTAAATGCCAAAAAATTGGACAACATATCTTTCAAGGTAAGAAAGATATAACTACTCAACAATCGAAAAATCTTAAAAAGGCGGAAATACATACGTACATATATACTTACTAGCCGTTCTCGCGCGCCCGGCACGTCTAGCCAGGGGGCTGCGCTCCCTAGACCCCCGGTTGCTCGCTACGCGAGTGACATTCGGCGCGCTTCGCCAATTTTGTAGTAGTTGCACATTTTTTATCACTTTATTATGAAGATTTCATAGAAAAAATTATTAAGTTTTCACTCCACAGTTAACTTGTAGAATAATAATGACGGGGCAAGAGATAGACTGTATCTTGAAATGGACGGTTCCCACTTAGTAGAAACAGCCAACACCACAAGAAGGCGAGGAACCATCTTTAGCCACTTTTTTTTTTTACTTTTCTGAAAAAATCAGTGAAATTTTAGTTGCGCTTCCTTAAATGAGAAATATTAACATAAATTTCCCTTTCTTACAGTGTTGTTAAAGTAGTAAAAAGTTATCCAGTGGGAAATTTCATTTATATTCCCGGTGGGCCTGCTACTCAAAATTTGAATAAAGCCGTTATTCAATTGAGCTGGTCCTATGAAATCCCATAAACCCATTAAATTTACATTGACAGGTTGGAAGTCCGTCTTACGACACACAATGTCAAAAAACAAATTAATTGTGTCGCCAGACAACACGTCCTGCAATACGTCATCAATTGAAGCTGGATTCATGATTATTTTATCAAAAACATCCTCAGAGAACAAAGGGTAGGAAAAGAAATATCAGAACAGAAAGGAAAAGAACAGACAGAATAACGCAGAAGAGATTCAAGAAAAACACAGTATAACAGAGAAAAAAATACAGAAAAATAACAAGGAAAACGACTCCACTAGGGTAATCTAAGCTCAGCTGGGTGTGAGCATGAGCTAGATAAAATAAAAACACCGAGGAGATGTAACCAAAACACAGCAGAGAATCAAGGAAAACACAGTAAAGCAAAGGAAAAGTACAATCAAGTAAATAAAGAAAACTACTATTGAAGAAATTCTAATTATTCGGAAAATAATTCGCTGACGTAATCTAAGCGTAGCTGCGTGGGAGCATGAGCGAGATTTATCATCAACTGACCGCTGGCCGCTAGGTACCCTGGTACCTGATTGGGCGAGCCACAATGGGTAAGAGGTGGCATGGTTCGTTTGACAGAGAAGTGGGGATCGGTCGGACGTAGGGGAAAGGTTCAGGCTGAACCGTTCAGCACAGCGTAGTGTCAGTCACCGGGTGGGGAAGAGAGGCGGGGAAATGACACTTCCCCTCGAGTGAAATAGAAAAAGGTGGAATCGCTGAAAGTCTGAATCCTTGGAAGTTTATATGATTGATGATGATATACATACATACATACATACATACATACATACATACATACATACATACATACATACATACGTACATACATCCGTACATACATACGTACATACATACGTACATACATACGTACATACATACGTACATACGTACGTACATACCCTTTTTGTGACTCCTACTTCTTAAATATTTAAATTATGTTTTTTTGACGATCTCTCCTCATCTACGGTGTTAATGGCTTCAATGTTAAAGCACCAAATAAATGTATTTACCAACCAACCATACATACGTACATACATACGTACATACATACGTACATACATACGTACATACATACGTACATACATACGTACATACATACGTACATACATACGTACATACATACGTACATACATACGTACATACGTACGTACATACGTACATACATACGTACATACATACGTACATACATACGTACATACATACGTACATACATACGTACATACATACGTACATACATACGTACACGCGGACATTACACGCGGACATTACACGCGGACATTACACGCGGACATTACACGCGGACATTACACGAGGACATTACACGCGGACATTACACGCGGACATTACACGCGGACATTACACGCGGACATTACACGCGGACATTACACGCGGACATTACACGCGGACATTACACGCGGACATTACACGCGCACATTACACGCGCACATTACACGCGCACATTACACGCGCACATTACACGCGCACATTACACGCGCACATTACACGCGCACATTACACGCGCGCACACACACACACACATACATACATACATACATACATACATACATACTTTAAATTTTTAAATTCTGTACTATATTTTATCTCTCCTCTAAGGTGTTAATGGCTCAATTGTTAAAAGCACCAAATAAACGTATCTACCAACCAACCATACATATATACACATGCATTTGCATGACATATATTCTTGTGATCTACGACCCGTGACCGGTGCTCTCCACAAGGTCTCAGGTCTGGGTCCGACATCATGGGAGAATGCAATAGTGTATTTTCTTCGGAAAATAAACTAAAAACACTGATATATTTTAAATTTTTTTGTTTTTTTCAGCAAGAAATGTCACAACTGAAGCATTAACCAATGAGTACATCGATTCATGTACGAAACATGGCGTCAGTGCTTTACCAGCTGTATTAGAGCAGATTAAGGTAATTTTGTCGTCTTCTAGTTCATCGATTTGCTTTGCAAAAACCAATATTCTTTTTTATAGCCTTACATTGGTGTAGGATCCTCCTGAATACTTCATTAGACCATAAGCAGAGGAAGATTGCTTTCTTCATTCTCCGCCAAGTTTCGTGGGTAAAAAAATATCAAACCCTCTCATATTTTACAGGGGGCACCTAGAAAGTCCAGCAGGTCATTCCATGTCAATTCAACCAAAAAAATGGGAAAATGGCACCCACCGACTCGGATTTTGTTTATTTATTTTTTTTTTCACCTAATCTATAGATTAATCTAAGAGATTGTACAAATTTTTAGCTCCATATGTTGAATACTTTTTGAAGAATAATTATTGAAGTTTCATCGCCTTTCGTAAAAAAGCTCTCTCCAGATTTCAAATACAGCAGCACTTCGCCTTAGAAAAAGCTTCATAATTATTTTAGTTTTAAAGATTTGAAGCTGAAATTCGGCACACTGATGCATGCTAGTATGTATTTGAAGGGGAAAATGTCCACTTTAACCTAACATACCCTGGGGCACAAAACGAGTTGAACATAGCCCTTTTTTGCCCTGATTTTTGGCTGTAATACCTTGATCCCTTACAATGAGCATAACCATGTGAGTTAACATATTTTAATTTTTTTTTGGTGAAAATCATCGTTAGGATGTGCTCTAACAGTATCTGGAATAAAAATCCTGGGTACTTCACTTTTTCTCTATCAAATCGCCTTATATAGCAAAAAATGCACGAAAAAGCTAAAAAAAGCAAGTTTTTGCGGCTGTTTCCCATCAAATCGTTTTGACGCTTGGCATCTCATCAGAAATTCACGTAAATTCTTTCTGTTCCCACCAATTTCGCTTTAGGAATCCTTGGCTTTTCTTACCATCCTCACTTAATCACTCATCGTAGCGAACACTCTGAAAAAGTAGAAAACACTCAGTTTTTGTGGTGGTTTTCTCCGCTAGGGGGGTTCTTATTTTTCGACTTTGCGAAAATCTAATGTCTGACCCCCCATCAAGTTGTCTTTTGGTGCGAAATGAACGTACAAAAACTTCAGCCGGATTGACTCATCCTGAGTGGTGCCGCTGGGCCCGACAAGTCTCCAGGCGGGAACTTCAAATTAGGGACAATCGCGTTTTTTCGTCATTTCGCGAATTTTTTTCCCCCCTTTAAAATATAGCTACAGCTTTGAAATTTTTTGAGGTAACACACTTTTCAGGGTTCTTTACAAGAAAAATAATGCACTGTCCCGTATCAATTTTAAAATGCCCTTTTCCACCCCTCGAAGGAGCCTCATCGCGCGATTCCGCCGATTTTTCGTAACAAACTCCCGACACGGTTTGCCGGAACGAGTTTAAACTTTTTGACAAATCAAAAGCAAAAACGCTTCAGATTCATGAAGTAGAGTGTCTACCGAGTCATTGAAGCCAAGGAGAAAAACATTCTGCCAAGCTCCTGGAAAATAAAGTCGATTTAAAGGAATTTTAGGGCTAAAAGGGGCAACTTACCGATGGTAAGTCCTGTTATATCACTGAAAATAAAAGTTTCAGTGATATAACTATTTCTACTTTTTCACACAGTGTTCGCTACGATGAGTGATTAAGTGCGGATGGTAAGAAAAGCCAAGGATTCCTAAAGCGAAATTGGTGGAAACAGAAAGAATTGACGTGAATTTCCGATGAGATGCCAAGCGTCAAAACAATTTGATGGGAAACAGCCGTAAAAACTTGTTTTTTTTAGCTTTTTCGTGCATTTTTTGCTGTATAGGGCGATTTGATAGAGGAAAAGTGGAATACCCAGGATTTTTATTCCAGATACTGTTAGAGCACATCCTAACGATGATTTTCACAAAAAAAAAATTAAAATATGTTGTTAACTCACATGGTTATGCTCATTTTAAGGGATCAAGGTATTACAGCCAAAAATCAGGGCAAAAAAGGGCTATGTTCAACGCGTTTTGTGCCCCAGGGTATGTTAGGTTAAAGTGGACATTTTCCCCTTCAAATACACACTAGCATGCATCAGTGTGCCGAATTTCAGCTTCAAATCTTTAAAACTAAAATAATTATGAAGCTTTTTCTAAGGCGAAGTGCTGCTGTATTTGAAATCTGGAGAGAGCTTTTTTACGAAAGGCGATGAAACTTCAATAATTATTCTTCAAAAAGTATTCAACATATGGAGCTAAAAATTTGTACAATCTCTTAGATTAATCTATAGATTAGGTGAAAAAAAAAATAAATAAACAAAATCCGAGTCGGTGGGTGCCATTTTCCCATTTTTTTGGTTGAATTGACATGGAATGACCCGCTGGCGCGTTTTGGGACTATTATTCATGTTAGACGAAATCCGAGTATCAACAATGGTCATTTTTGGGCTCTTCCTGAATTTCCTCTATTCTATCATTTTTTTGCTCATTGATGGTCTGTATTGTAGGGAATGCATCATGGTTTTGTGACTCTTGGTCTCTTTTTAGGTCCAATCTTATATCCTATCTTATCTTGCACAAATACAACTGTAATGACCAAAACCTTGTGATCCTTAATTCTGAGGAACTGCTGGGCCGGTTTCCTTGATTTTTGTTGCGAACGAAATCTGTTGATGTCTAGATGACACCAAAAATCCGAAACTTTCTGTATCCGCTCTTGAAGCTCTTTTCCTGGAGCATATCAAACTTTTATATCATACTTAATCTTTCTCATGAGAGTGGCCTCTGCGTGTTTAAGTCACTCTATGCAAGCCACTTGCTGATTGGTTCATCTCTCCTCACTTCCCAGGAAAGGGTTGAAGCGCTGAATAGGACGTTGGTACACACTACTCACTCTGTACCAGCTCTGAAAGTTGATTGGCTAACCCTCTATGAAAATTCTACCCCTCCGTCCTATTGGATGGGTTTTCCCCAGCTTTTTCGTCAAGTGAATCTGGGACGGATACATTTTGGTGGGAAGCGCCCCCCCCCCTTTCGACCTTCGGCAGAATCTGTAGCATGTATCCCCTCGAGAACAATGAAAATCCTATCCCTGATTTTTGGCTGATGTCAATAGGTAGGAGCCCCCCCCCCTTCCTCACGCCTGACTTTCCAAAAGAATTGTTGTGCCACAAGCTGCAAGTTATGGCAACTCCACGCCACACCGGACCATGTCCAGTGATAAGGCATTTCAGTGTTTTCTCCTCTTTTTACACACGCCACCTTTCGGAGGCGATGTGACCTCTACACGTGCCCCAAAAGCGAGCACCCTGGGACCCCGCCGCTCGCCCCTCTTGCAGAGATGCGAAGCTTTAAAAGTCACGGTCGCTAGGCCGCATGGTGAATCGAGTCAATGGTAGAGGTCGGTCATGGGCGACGAAGAAAAAAAGTCGGATTTTAAATACTTTATCTTGGTTTTCTAGTAGTTAAGCTTCCAAAATGAATGTATCCATGGTTCTAGGGTCTTTGAACCCTTCCGCTTTGACATGCGGGTTGCCTAAAGCTGACATTGCAGGTGGTATCAAATTTGCCGTCTGATTCTCAAGGTTTTATTTCGCTTTTGCATGAGTTCTGTAGCAGATAAATCAAAATTTCAATTAAACATGCTTAATCTCCTCCCTTTAAGAAACATTTTGGTATATCATTAATGTGTATTGGCGTATTTTTAGGAGGACCAAAACCACCTCCAAAACTTGCTTTAAAAAAACGCCCAAGAAAATGTTAAGATGGCTCGATAAAAAAATGTCCACAAGTGTCCACTAAATCCTTTGTTGGGTTGCTTCTTGTACACTATCAGGAATGATATCATGTAATAAGTAGCCGCTAATATCCGCTAATCTGCGAAAACGGTCCATTTGAATGAAAGCAAGTTGCGCCTGCTGGGAATCCGATCTTGCTCCAATGTCATCAATACAATCGTGCATCACACGATATCCTTCAATCTCGGTAATTTTTCTACTGATTACTGATTTTGGCTGATTTGTTGATATTTTTGGACGAGACATTAACCTCCTGTTAGTCTATGAAGCTAATTTGATCAGTGTTATACTGTGCGATAAAGTTTAAGGTGTATGTTTTGCGCATTGTATATTTCACAAGTCCCGTTTCTTGCAAAATGTCTTAAACATACCTAGAACTCTTCCATGAGCTTTATACAAATAAAAATCGGTTGTGGGTTGAAAAAGAAGAAATACAAGAAATTTCTTCAAGAGACATTGGTCCTTCCCAGTGGTTCTTGAAGGGATCAGAACTTGCATGAAAAATAAATTTCCTCCTATTTTAATATTTTTTCAATAAAAATGTTTCAAATTTCACCCCAAACTTCGAGGAACAAAACAAAATAATGGAAGATGATATATTTTTTTTTTTCTCTCTCTCTCTCTGCACATTCAATTTTTTATATCTTGTGGTAAGTACCCATAATAATCCTCTAGGATGACTCGATAAAAAGAAGCTACAGTATATATATATATATATCTTTTTAATATATTGATCTATTTTTTGAAATATGCATGTTTGTTGAATAATTGAAAGAGTAGAGGGTTCATGAAGATGAAAACGTCTATTGACTGGCTGGAAGAAAAGAGAAGAAAAATGAACATCAGAATGTTCCGTATATGTATCAGTATGCAATTGCGAGAAACTAATTAACATGAACAAAAAACGATGTTGGCAGAAATTGAAAAAAATATGGCAACCTTCGTGGTGAGGGTCCTGTGAAGCCGCCCTCCCTCACTCCTCAAGTAATGTCTTTGAGTCAAGTTCTGCAAAATTCTTCTTTACATAAGATGCTTAAGGTCCCATTCGCCGAAAGTAACGTGAAAAATAAACTATCAAGGATACCATTTTCAATAGTCATGAAAAAGTGTTTCAAAATCGTATTAAAACTCGTTATTTGGCTGAAATATGATAAAAAGTGGAATCTACGACGAAAAATACAACAGATGAGGGTAATTTGCTCTATTCTAAGGGCGGGAAATCTCTGTAATCAGAGAAAATAAGACGCGTGATGCGCGATGACCGACCCCTCCCATTGACTCGATCCACCGTGGGCCGCTGGGGACCAGTCTTACACTGCCTCCTCTTGAGGGACGTTCATTTTTATGAAAAGGTTTGATTTGGAAAGATATGTATGCTATGTATCATGACTTGGTTTGTATTCTGTAGCTGCGTGCTATTTGTTCATATGGAGCTTGTGCGTGTCATATGTTTGGTTTTTTTCGCTATACATATAAAATGAGCATTTCTCTGCATTTCAGTTTTCATATTTTTTCGTTCGATTTCATCAGCATTTACTTCCATGGAGTCCATTTCCAGTTTTTAGTCGTTTTTCCAAGTTTGGATCGTCCTCATATATTTCCTGCGCGAAGCGTCGGTCTTCGGAGCGCTTTTGCGTGGAAATCCATGAGTATGATTTCTGCTCGGGAAGAGGAGCCGTATTTCTCTCAGGGGATGATATTTCCATATTTCTGCCATTTGCGCGCTGGGATATTAAGCGCTCAGCCGATAGGCGGCGCTTTTTGATTTCGATTTGCCACTAGAGCTCTAGTATAGTAGGGCGCTCAAGCGATCAAATGGCGCACCAACTCATCGATGCACGAAACGCCATTTTTACTTTTTTTTTTTTTGATTACCTCATTATGCCTCTGTGAATACGATTAAATGCAAATTGGCGTAAGAAATAAATAACAGTCCTAAAACTCTCTTTGCTATGCGGTTTATAGTTATCCTATAATTACTTCTGAAAGTTCAAGATTCGCGCTCTGTTTTCCGAAAACTTTTCCACCGGTGATAACCTTATTCGGAGACCTTAGTAGAATTCGCCTACATCTAGGTTATGTGTCTTTGACCTAGGTACTGGAGAGTATTGCCATCCTTTTGCCCTTCTCTGATTGGTTCATGAGTTTTGGCGTCTTTGGCCCTTCTCTGGCTTAATAAGTAATAAGATCAATGTTCATTTTCTGTAGGTACATAGCCGCGATTCAGATTCAGATGACACTACTCTCCCGTATTTGCTTCTCGCGTCTCGCTTACTCCTTTGTGTTTTCATATTTCGTCCATCTCCCTCCATCCATAATTAATTCCATAATCCATCCGCCTCGTTTAAGATTGTGTTGTGAAATTTAAGATTGTGAAATTGTCTGAAATTTGAAGCATAATACTTTGGAATTATTCAACGTATGTCGTGTCTTGTCTTCAGACTCGTTCTGCCCACCTCGTGAAGTTTGTGAAAGTTTCTGAAGTATAATGCTGTGAAATTATTTGACCAATTATCATGCTACCTCAGAGACTGTTTTAGTGTTTTTGGGTTAATTAAAGTATGTCAGGTAGGAGATCTGCCATTTGCGATACATGCAAAATGCTTCATTATACTAGTGTACCACAGTTGTTCTCAAGCACCAATTACAACACGGTTTGCATTTTTATGCTGAATAGCATAGATAAACGACTGGAGCATTTTGCGCAGCTCAAGCGCAGGGATTTGTACCTTCGTAATTGTCACCACCTCATCGCTGCAAATTATGAAAAGGACCGCTCGAGTGTATCCTTGATCATAGAATATCTGTTATTCTCAAAGCGATGTCGTCATCACATCCCTGTCAGTTCACAACTTCTAATTATTGAGTTTAACTAGGTGTCAAAAAATCTGAGATATCTGAAGTAGCAGAAAATTGTGTACTTTCAAAGTCTAAGATTTTTTGCGGCACCGACAGTTTCATAAATCTTCCTTATAACACTCTACTCTGAAACCGCTACATTCTACCTCTCACATTGCTCCATAACAAAGGTATGTGTTAGCCTCTTATTTGTACTAAAAATTCTAGGTTTCATGACTCATTTACTCATTCACTCTCTGGTGAATTTGGTTCCGTCAGATTCATTGCAAGACACCTCATGTGTTATCTCCGCAGACCTAACACAGACATTTGAACGCTCAATGAGAGCAAAATTTCAACTGGCCAGTTGTCTACTTTTCAGTAAAGAGGGTAAATAACCTTCCTTAAGGACTCGCTTTGAGACGATAAAACAAGGTTTCTCCATTACTTACCGTAAGACGATAATAAGTGTTCCACCAGACTATGTAGGAGATGAGGTTGAAAGTTACATCACCTCCATGTGTGAGGAAGTTTTCTTACCTACAACCTGATTTTATGACTTACAATAACAAAAGATACTGCTTTCGCCTGGCATTTTTTCATGCGTCGCATCGTCTAATAAACGGGGACCTACATTTACTTGATTCCATGAATAGGTAAAATGGCTCAGAGAGAATTTCGTCGAATGATCACTACGGCCATCTCTCATCCAGTTGGAGAACTTTTACTTACCTTTGATTAAAAAATTCATGAACCATAGAGTTTTTGGAAATTGAGTACACAATATTATTGTGAAAGATTTTTGAGGTTGAGTCTCTGTTTACATTCTTAAAGTATCAAAAGTTCTACAGTTTCATCGTGTTTCCTCCTAACTTTATCAGCTTATGAGCAATGGCTCCTAATTTACTCAACTCCTCAGCAGGCCAAAACTCTATACCTCTACAGATACATATGAGATTCATGCGTTTCAACGAAACCTACGAGTCCTCTTATCATCACTCAGGAACCACCGATCTTTTCTGCAGGTGTCATGGACCATTCATGACAAATACTGTTGCAACCACCCTTATCCTAGGTACATATCTATGCATAGTAATTCTAGTGATCAGCTCCATACTCACAATGTAATTTCTGTAAAATACAGTTGGACGGTAGAATTACCAGACCCCGTATCTCGGTTTGCGACGTTGTAGACTTCCTTTCATACTTTCTTCTTTACACGGAAAACCAACCAACATCAATTTATAAAAACTTCTGCAATTTTTCTTCTCTGTGCAAAGAAAACTCTGTGAAAACCAAGGAGGAAAAATGATTTGTTCTCCGTCAAAAGAATAAAATGGGAGCGGAGGTTTTTAAGCACCGCAAACGAGATACATGGTCTGCTAGTTTCACTGTTGACTTGTTACGATATACCTATACCTACAATATCCCTATAGATTACATTGAAGATATTACTGTCCCTGTAACAGTGACTGATTCGAATGTTATCACAGTAGAGGGTTTCAGATATTTGGGCCAGCATGGTTTATTAATTACACAGAACGTAAGTTACCTTTATAAATTAAGGCGTAGAGGCAACTTCTGCCTTTGGTTGGCCAGAAATTTCTGTAAACGCATTTAAATTCTTGAAATTTATGAGAAATTCCGAATCTACTAAATGAAAGCAAGGATTTCAGGAGAACATGATTAACAATTTGCTGTCAGAAGGAAAACTGCGGAAGGAAAGTGGAAAAGATTTTTCACTAAGGCTCAACATAATATGAGGAGGAAAAAATGAATGTAATTTCCGTTTACCCTGGTTATAATTCTGGTATTGCAAGAATTCTCCTTCTCTATTTACGTAATTACGTATTAGATTATTGTATTGTATGAAATCCTGTTATCACGAAGACAGAGGGTTACATGTCAGTTTACCTACAAACCTTTGACCTACGTGACGTTTTACCTACAGCTTTTTACCTACGACATTTAAACCTACAACATTTTATCTACAAAGCAATTTGCCTTAAAAGCAATTTACCTGCATTTTTTTTTGTCTACGAAACATTTCTCCTACAATTTATCAATTTCACCTACGAGTGAAATTGCTCTCCAGCATAGCTGCCAGATTGTATGAAAAAATTTGTTTTCTTTTAAATTGAGTTAAATGGGAATGGCTATTTGGTCGCTATGGTGTACAGCTGTAAGAGAAGCCCCAAGTTTGTTTCTGTGGCAACAAAAGCATATATTTGGCGCACTTTTTCCAGTTTTTTTCTAACCTTATTTTTTCTTAACTTTTTTTTTCTAAAAATTTTAGTTTAAACTTAATTAAAATGGCAAAGTTAATAACAACCACGCGAGGGGGGAGGTGTTTAGCCGTAGACGGGTTTGTGTATCACAAGCAAATCTCACGTCAGTCCAGAACATATTGGCATTGCGCTCAACGGAAAGAATTTTGCCGAGGCCGTGCAGTCAGTACAAACAACCCGCTGACAATCGTCAAGCAGACTACTCACAATCACGCACCAAACCAGGACGCGGTGGCTGCCCGAGAAGTGGTTAACAATCTTAGAGGTTAAGCGGCAGAGCGCCCAGATGCAGCTCCTACACTAATTTTGAGGGATGAGCTCAGTCAAGTGACATCAGTCGTCACAGCTCAACTTCCACTACGAAGTTCTCTGAGAAGAACAATGAACCGGAGACGGCAAGCCGAGCTCCCGCCAAATCCTGCCAATCCACAAGAGTTAAACATTCCTCCTGAGTATCGCACCACACTGAAAAATGAGCCCTTCCTCTTGTACGAAAATTTAGATGACGATGATGCCTCTACTATCCTAATTTTCGCTTCAGACAGGAATTTGAGGGTTCTTGGAGCTTCACAGACCTGGTTCATGGACGGAACTTTTAAAGTCACACCAATTATCTTTCATCAACTTTTTACAATTCACGGGATGATTGAGGGTTCGGCGTTTCCCCTTGTTTATGCCCTAGTCGAAAATAAGGAAGAAGAAACGTATTATCAAGTTCTGAGAGAAGTCGTTGCACATTGCAATGCAAGAGGAATTAACATTGCAGCGCCTGACACGCTTATAAGCGATTTCGAAAAGGCAATCATCAATGCAGGCAGAAGAATGTTTCCAAATGCGCAAGTGCGGCTGTGTTTTTACCATCTGGGACAAAGTTCGTACAGGAAAGTTCAGGAACTTGGCCTACAAGCAGCCAACATTAATCCCGAAAATCGAGAATTAAAGATTGCAGTTCACTGCATGTTAAGTGTGGCTTTTGTACCACCAGATGACGTAGAAGAAGTGTTCGATGCCCTTGCCGAGACTCTTCCCGATAATTTACAAGACCTGGCGGATTATTTCGAAAGAGTCTACATCAAAGGAATCAGACGAAGACGTGGTCGAAGAACTCCTCCCCAATACGCACCCGCTTTATGGAACCAATTTGAAGCTATCGCAAATAATGAACCCAGAACAAACAATCTTACGGAAGGGTGGCACCACCGGTTCAATGATTTAGTGGGGAAGAACCACCCCTCTTTTTATCATTTTCTCAGAGAGTTGAGGAAAGAGAATGACGATGTGGAGAACATGATCATGGAGGTCGAGATGGGAAGAACTGTCAAAATGCCGCAAAGGTCAAAATATCGGCGTGTCAACGAAAGACTGCACCGGCTAGCGGGACGGTATGAGGCGATGAAAACTGCTGGGAGACAACTAGATTATCTCCGCGCGTGTGCGCACAACTTCGACCTGTAAGAGAAGTAAGTAAGTCTCTTGGTGGTTACTTCCTCCGCTAAAATCTCTCAAAATAGAGTCCGTTTTTACACAGCTCACATCTACACAAATAAATTGTAGGTTGAATGTTTTGTAGGCAAGAAAAACTGCAGGTAAATTGCTTCGTAGGCAAAATGCTTTGTAGATAAAATGTTGTAGGTTTAAATGTCGTAGGTAAAAAGCTGTAGGTAAAATGTGCCGTAGGTCAAAAGTTTGTAGGTAAATTGACCTGTAACCAAGACAGAGTATCATAGAGCATAAACAATAAACATAGGAAAGGTTGTGTCTGATCATGAGTCATTAGAAGGTTTTAGCGTAGTGTGCTGCAACCTAGCGGACACATGGTGCCTTCGATTCGCGAAAAGTTACCTTCAGTACTCACAATCAGTTGCAGTTGATTGATTTCGTTTATTGTCTCATCATTTACCTATTAATATTTATATTTCGTTCATTTATTTACGTATAATATTTTTTACGTGTCCAATTAGGGCATCATTAAAACAATTAATTTGGCCTCGTTAAGTGATACGTTCATCTTTGATACATTTTCTTCAAATGCTCTAGAAAAGTTATTTTTTTGGAGCCGTAATAGTTTTCTCTGTTTTTATGAGAAATCGAGGATTTTTTATGTATTAATATTTCGGTACTTAAGTAATGGATCATTATTTTTCTTATGGATCTTGGATTTTTTTCGGGGGGGTGGGGGAGGAAGCACAATTTTAGATGTTTTAATTATTGCAAATTTTAACATACTCAGTTAATAGGTAGTAAATTAAATCTGGGACTCATTAAAATTGCGCTCACCGCTGAGCGCTTCTCTAATACCCACGTATTAGAGCTTTCCCGCTTGTTTTTTTCTTGGTTTTTCCTTCCTTGTGTTTTCCTCTCATCCAGCGTTGCCTGCGCGAAGTGCTGGTCCTCAGGATAGCTTTTCCAAGGGGTAAAGCGTTTGAGTATGAGCAGGGGCACATAGGATGGGACGAGGTGGGAAGGGATCCCGGCCTGGCCACCACGGCAGCGCGGCTGCGGTCGCATTGGGAAGACGCAAACCTAGAGTTTGCTATGGTTATATTTTTTTGCCACTTACGAGTTTTTCAGTATTATTTCTTTGCGTGCCCGGGTATTTCCTCCATCACATTGCTGAGGTAGCTGGAGGGTTATTTTTGATAGCCCGGAGCCCGAGGCTTGACAGGAATATTCGAAACCTTCCTCGGAGGAAGTCGCGAAGTAATCGCTTGCCTCGCGGAGCGAGCCATCATCATTCGCAAGAGCTAAAGCAGCTAGTACTGGCCTAAATATGGATTTGAACGCATATGTTAGCGAAAAATGCGCGTTTTACGGGGTTTTGGTCGTATGCTATCTAAGTCGCATTTTTCGCCGAATCGGGCCTTCAGATCCATGTTTAGGCCAGTATTAGACCCAAGAAGAGACCGGAAATGACCATTATGTTGAACGCCGTAAAATATAAACCTATGATGCGCAAAAAATCGTAGAATTCAGGAAAGTCAGCCAAGGTGAGCCCTAAAACGGCCGTTATCGATTTATATTAGGTCGATATTATTAAAGTCCCGTCAATCTATTCCAAAAAAGGGCTTCAGCTGGAAAATATTCGAAAAAACTTTCTGGCGTGTTTCCCAATTGTCTTTTTCTAGCGCCGAATCCTAATCTGTACCTTGCTACTTTCGATTTCACCGCTAAAGCCGCCATCTTCACAAACGTCGTCAAATCCTATTTTTTGTCCGGAAACCGTTAATACCTCGTTCTCCGTGTGTCAGGCGGCAAAATGAGTTATTTGCAAACTGGACACACGTCAGATTTTGGTTTAGAAACATGTACCTAAGTTTAGATAAAATGCATAAACCATCCGCCCGAGCGTACTGAAATTCGCGGGAAGTTTGAAAAAATCGGATTTTTTGCGGCTTGTCAAATATTATTTTTCTTACCGGATTTTCGGCACAAATTGTCATCAAAGAAATCAAAGTTGACCAAAAATGCTACTAGAATCACTCTTAGAGCTTGGACTAGTGATTGGTTCAACAGCAATTAGGAGGGCTTGAAGTCTGACAATGAGACTCGCACGACCGAAATCGGCGGTAACGCTAGATCACAGTTTTACCTGAAACGGCTAACGCCCTTCTGGCCAAAAGATCCGGGGACGATGAACAGTTGATAACGGGGGCGATTTCCACCAGTCAAGGTTATAGCAAAAGGAGCCTTTGACAACTCTAAATAGGATATTTCGAACTTAAACTAGCATTAACAAGGTTTGAATACGAGGAGACCCAAGAGCAGAATTATGCGGGTATATGTTTGTTTAGGTTGGCGAACCTGGCCTGAGAATTTTGGATTTGAAATATTTTTCCGCTCCTGCCGCCAAACGGGTGTTGATGCTTCAAGATTGGAGGGGGAGTGTAGATGTAGCCGAAAGAATGATAAACGGATGCCGAACACAGAAGTAATAACAGGGGCCACTCAAATTTATTTAATCTAGAAAAATAGGAAAAAATTCGAAAAAACACATAAATAGGGCTCGAAAAACTTATTCTAACATACCTACAACTCTGAACGTAAATTGGACATTTCAGGACACTCAAAAGGAAAACTAACGAAGACGAACACGAGATAAACCGATCAGAACTCGAAGAACACGATTACTCAACCAACCGAGTCGGCACCGTCGAAAACTACGAGAGGGACTGGGTCATCGCCTCTGACACCCTCCTCAACTCTCGAGAAAACACGACTGACTTCAGAGATTCTTGTTTAGGCGCTTCCCTGGTCCAGGGAGGCCAGGGAAGCGTCGGTTCCCATGAGAAAATGCTGGAGAAAATTCTGAAGCAGCAAAAATTCTGGCTCCAAATCACGCTTTCCAAGAATTGCCGGATAGACAGGGCCATGGGCCGCTGCCGAATCTATCAGGGTCCCGCAAAATTTACAGAGATTCTCTCCGGAATAGTGCGGGCCCCTGACCGACTTGGCGGCTTCGCGTGTCCGCCGGAAACCGATGGAAGCGTGGTTCTTAGGCAGTTTTCTCAAAACGCATGAAAGTGCAAGGCAAGCGGCTACAACGCATCCGCCTGTCCTGCTCTGTCGACGTCCCATCTCCCAGTTTCCACCGCTAGCGTGTGAAAATATTTGCGGCGCTGCCCGAGGAAAACTCCGAATCCCGAAGAAATTCAAAGTTTCTCCCGGGTTGCGCCGCGAACTAAGGGCTCAGAATTAGGGGTAAAATTTTGCCCAAAGACAAAATAACGGTTTCATACCTTTGAAGCGCTGTTACATGGTTTCCATAACGTTTCATTTTGCTTTGAATCACTAAATCTCTTTTCTGCGATTATTGAAATGAGAGATTTCACCCCTTTTGTTATGCCTTTCCATAGAGTACATAGAGTCGTAATGTAAATGGGAGAGCTGGCTGGGAGTTAATGGGAGTTCTGCTCGACGAATTCCGAGCCCGGTGTGCGCCGAGTTCGGGTCGCTTTTTCGATACATTTTCGATCCAAAATGGCGGTGTGGAATACGTGGTAATTCCTATCTCCTTTGTTGTTGTTGTTGTTGTTGTTGTTGTCATCGGATGGCCGGGTACCCGTGTATCGCAAACAATCGATTATGTATCGAAAAAGTGACCCGGCGTCACACAGGAGTCTCGGAATTCGGGACATGGAAAATGCTTAAAAGTGGCGCCAGCTCTCCCAATTACATTACGGCTCTAATGTGCCTTTCCACAACCCCCACCCCCTCCCACCCCCCTTCCCGGATCACATGACGGTGTACAATCCTTTTCACTTCATATTTATCCGACAAAACGCTATTTTGTGGTTTTAGTAGTTTTAAAATAACATTATATCACTTCTGACCCCACTTCCCCCTCTAGTCAGGGAGAAATACGATTTGACCCGGAACAAATTGCTTTACAAACTTTTCCTATGTAAACGTCATCAATAGGTCCTCCTGAACTACATACCAAAAGTTTACCACGGTCCGACCCCGGAACACCCCCCAAAATGCCTAAATTTCAAAATGGCGGCCATAATACGGCCTCTGGGATTTCGGTTTTTTAAAATGCGCATATAGTGTCTTGTGAGGTTTCAATCTCTATGTAAGTTTGGTCGTAGAATTCAGATATGAGGTCAAAAAAGTCCCCCAGTCAAAGGGGGTGCCCCAAATCCAAGATGACGGCCAATTTTGAAAGACAGGAGGGTGAATTTTTAAAATGCGCATATAGGTTCATGTGAGGTATCATCCCTCATGTAATTTTGGTCTTAGATTCCATTAATGGAGTCATAAAAGCCTTCCGGTCAAAGAAGGTGCTCCAAATTTCAAGATGGCGGCTAAATTTGAAAGGTAGGAGGGTGAATTTTTGAAATGTTTACGTGACATGACAAGTGAGGTATCATTTCTTTTGTAATTTTGGTCGTAGATTTCATTTATGAAGTCATAAGAGCCCCCCTGTCAAAGAGGGTGCCCCAAATCCACGATGGCGGCCAAATTTGGAAGCAGGAAGGTGAGCCAACAAAACAACAGTCATGTTAGGAGGCAGGTTACCTATCAAATTCTATGTATTTTTAGTCAAGGAGTCTGAATGAAATTAGAAAAATTAATTTTACACAAAAATGAGACATAACATGCAAGATGATGACCATCATGGCTGTCCAGGATATGAAAAGATGTGAACACGAGCACCTAAGAGTTATTTTTGTTAATTTTGAAGCACATGCATTCCCAATGAAGATAAGGAAATTAATCGTGGCCTACAAACTCTAGTCAATATGGGCGAAAATTTGAATCAGCACATGCTGAGACATAGTATGAGTCAGGATTGTCAGAATCTTCTTCCTGAGGTGTCCCGAAGTTTATGAAGTCATTGTGATTTATACGTAAGTCTGTGCAGCATAAGTTCATTTTCTGAAATTTTCACTTTCATACCGCATGGTGTACCACACCTTTTTTTTTTTACAATTATACGGAATAATTTCACGCAGTGATTTCGGACTGGAGGCAAGTTGCTTGTAATAGGATAAATTTCGTCAACATTTTTATCAAAGCATTGCCATTGAAGAGCATTCAGATCGGCTCGTTCTATCCAGCTTTCTGTGTTCGTTTAAAGTTTTGCTTAGGTTTCAAGAACCTTTCAGCATTTTTGCATAGGTAAAGATCTGATACAAGAGTACCGAATATAGTTATACTTTTCCGATTCTGTGCATGTGAGAAGTTAAATCCCAGCAAAAGCCAAAACGTATGGAACAGAAGCTGCTTACATAAACTTAGATCGATTCTGTGACGGATTCAAGGTATGTTGTGAGCGATTGTCTTGGACTTTCCGCAATTAATATCACATCTTAAGTGCAAAGAAAAATTGATGTCCTGTGATCTACTTTTTTTAAAAAAAACGAATAGGTTCGAATCGTGTCCGCTCACAATAATTATGTCAGTTTTCTTATGTATAAGGTGCACCACCCTCTTTGACGATATCAAGAGCTGCATCTTATTTCACATGCACGACCTTACAACGGTGGATTCGAGGCGTGTGCCGATGATTTGGATAAGTTTACTTTTAGTGACTGAATTTGTTAAAATTGACCTCTTTTTTACCAACAAAAGATGGATTTGGTAAGGAATTGACTATAGGTGTGTATCTGAATTTTTTGCTTCTTTTAAGGCGAGTGGAGTCTTTCATAAATGGTCCATTTCCTTGGCACCCGTCAAATACTGCCATGGCTTCAGATTATTTAGAAAAAAGAATTTAGCTTTGAACTGTGGGATGATTTGAATTTATGAATCCAAATAATATTGGTTTGCCCTCTTTTCTATGGCCCTCGGTGGAGAGAAGACCCACCATCTAAAACGTACTGAACTTTTACTTCATTATCCCGGTACTTACAACAGGTATTTCAGATTTTTCATCCTCTGTGTCTAAGGCATCTGAACTTGAATTCTGAGTTATTGTGCACTAATCAGCGAGACACCTTACCTACCATTTATGATTTCTCGACTATGATGGCCATCATCTTGCATGTTATGTCTCATTTTTGTGTAAAATTAATTTTTCTAATTTCATTCAGACTCCTTGATAAGGGCTGCCAATCCTTCCTCCTTGACCGCCATCGTGGATTTGGGGCACCCTCTTTGACAGGGGGGCTCTCATGACTTCATAAATGAAATCTACGTCCAAAATTACATAAGAAATGATACCTCATTTGTCTTGTTACGGAAACATTTCAAAAATTCACCCTCCTGCCTTTCAAATTCAGCCGCCATCTTGAAATTTGGAGCACCCCCTTTGACCGGAGGGCTTTTATGACTCCATTAATGGAATCTAAGACCAAAATTACATGAGGGATGATACCTCACATGAACCTATATGCGCATTTTAAAAATGCACCCTCCTGTCTTTCAAAATTGGCCGCCATCTTGGTTTGGGGCACCCCCTTTGAGTGGGGGACTTTTTTGACCTCATATCTGAATTCTACGACCAAAATTACATACAGATTGAAACCTCACATGACACTATATGCGCATTTTAAAAAACCGAAATCCCAGAGGCCGTATTATGGCCGCCATTTTGAAATAGGCATTTTGGGGGGTGTTCCGGGGTCGGATCGTGGTAAACTTTTGGTATGTAGTTCAGGAAGACCTACTGATGACGTTTACATAGGAAACGTTTGTTAAGCAATTTGTTCCGGGTTAACCCCCTTTTTTTCGTATTTCTCCTTGACTACTCGTTCATCTCCCACATACCTCGCGCTTTTATAGTGAGGCAATTTGCATTTGCTAAATCTTCACAAACTGGAGGAAAAAAAAGAGTTCTAAGTCGATGATTTTTTTCAAACTTCCCGCGAATTTCAGTACGCTCGGGCGGATGTCTAACGCATTTTACCTAAACTTAGGTACATGTCTCTAAATAAAAATCTGATGTACTTCCAGTTTGCAAACTCATTTTACCGCCCGACACACGGGGAACGAGTTATCAATGGTTTTCGGACAAAAAACAAGATTTGACGACATTTTTCAAGATGGCGGCTTTAGCGGTGAAAATCGAAAGTAGCAAGGTTCAGATTAGGATTCAGAGCTAGAAAAACACACATGGGAAAGTCGCCAGAAAGTTTTTTGGAATATTTTCCAGGTGAAATTAATGATTGACTGGACTACTACGTTTTTTTTATGTAAATGACCGCTCAGATGATCAGTTTTCCCGCGCCGCTGTTAGTTCATTTCCCACCAACGCCAATTCTAGGCGCAGGGTAACTGTGATGAGGATACCTGAGGATACAAAGGGGTTCCTTTTGGTTAAATTTTTGCCCTTCAGGCAAAATGTTCAGTGCGAATTGCTACTTTGAATCCTCAAAACTGCTTCCCTAGCAATCCAAAATTATTGGCGGGGTTCTTTCTCCCGAGGGGTTGGGTTGTCATATGATGATGCTCGCTCACAAGTCGCAGGTCAATTATCTAGCTGCCAGAAGACACTGTCTGTTGAGATTTTTTAAGCTCTCTTGCACGAACTGAAGCTCTCAAACCGGTCCTAATTCTCACCTATTTCTGCACAAAATTCCTTGAAAATCTCAGGATTTGAAGTTTTATGTGTCTCGAACACACCAGTTAGGTTGTTTCATTCGTCCACCGTTCTTCTGGGATAGCCAAGGAATGGTAAATTAGAAAATAATGGAAATCCTGTAAAAGGACGTGAAATATATACAATGTGATGTGTCCAACAAAGAAAAGCTCCAGAAATCTTTTCATGTGGTGGCCCATCACCGGAAGAATCTCCACAATTGATAACCTTCACACGATAAACTTTCTCTGTCAATCTGATGTTTCTTTTTTTCACAAATTCTAAGTATGTCCTCCACTATCCTACGGATGATCATCTTTGATGATCCCATAATTTCTTCAGACTTGGACGTGAAATTACTAAAGATCCATTCTCTCGAAAAGTAAGTAAGTTATTTTAATATTGGTCAGTGATCATACATTTTTTCTACTAATGGCAAATTTTATTTTCTGTTCAGAAAATCAACTTTGATCTCGATCGTAATGAAATACTTGATCTCAAAGGGTCCTATTTAACAGTTGCTCACTGTGAAGCGCTTGAAGAAATTTTCAAGCGTGTCCAATTTGTGGTCCTCAATGTTGGGTCCACTTGCTTAGATGATGAGGTATGTATATGTGAACCAAGGTTTTTCATGCTCTTTTTTCAACAGTTTATAACTAGTGCATCATTAGATAAGGTCACAAACCAAGCATTGGGATACACATATTCCCGTCACCAATTCATGTAGAATATTGTGGACACTTTAATAATTTGCAATTTTAACTCTCAATTGAGGATCGACTACCAGACAAGTTCTAAACCCCCCCCCCCCCAAAGAAAAGAAAAAAAAAATATATGGAATATATCTCTCCCATCTTATAATTATAAACGTGGAAGGATTCCATTCCACCTTTTATTCGAGTTGCTGCAGGAGACGGTAGGGAAAATTCCAGTTCAAAGCAGCACGCCTTTTAAGGTGGCTCTTATTTTTTAAAGTTGTGAAAAGTTCAAGAGAAGATTGCTTAAAATATGCTAAGAAGTAGCTAAATCAAGAATCTTTTTGTAAAAAAAATTTAAAAACCTTTTAGAGGTCTCTCTAGCGTCCTAAAGGGCGTATGTCTAAATATCGGTATTTCAGCAATGGTATAACCCTTCTTTCATGAAAATCACCAGTTTATGGCCTTTGGGCAAAAATTTTGTCCGCTTGGCTGCAGAGCTGGATTTAGGTATCTGCCGCCAAAAAAATTTTGCCCCCTCTCCCCCGCTCAGATATACAGTGCTGTAACTTATTGAAACACACAATGCGCACGAAACATAAGTTTCGAAAACGCGGCAAAAGCATAATCATACTCTGCGATAGTAAGAAAAATGCGTATTTGTGCAGGGAAATGTTGCAAACAAATATTTTAGGAGGAGGAAATGATTCTTCAAAGAATGAGGATCTGTGACACGAAAAGGGCGAAAATGAATCATAGTAAAAAATGTAACTAAATGTTGATACTAATTTGCAAAACCTCCTAACTTTGTCGCGGTGTTTCAGAATTTCTGCTTTCGCATTATTTTTTTAAAGAGAAACAAGCTATAGCTTGAAATTCATAATCGTACAGAATATTCTGCTGACAGAGTACAAATTTCAAGAGAGTTTTTAAGAAAATACGTAGACTACTTTTCCATAGAATACATGAAGTTTCACAGGAAGTCTGCATCATCACAAACGAAGATTCAAGGTTTCACTTATTGGTCATCAATGTACTCATGTTTTAAAAAAAAGGACGGATTAATTTAGATGAGAGGTAGAGAAAAATTGAGGGGTAGAGTCTCACAAAAAATCGCTCAATAGTGTGACCTTCATTTTTATCTCTCTCTCTCTCTCAATCTTCCCCTCCTCTGTTTTTCTATTAGGAAAAAAAGAAAATTCAGAAATTTGCTGCCCAGTGCCATAGCATCGTTGGCCCTCCCCTAAATCCGGCTCTGGTTTGGCCTCAGCTTTTTCAGGGGCCATGTGTCATCTCATGGGCACGTTTGTGATACAAATTGCCACCATAGCTTAATCTCTTCATTTTGGTCTTTAGAAAGAGAAGATCGTTGGTATACTCTCCAATTTTCATGGGAAGGCCCCCAAAACAAGATGGCGGCTGAAAACTAAAATTTTTATTAAACGGCACAAAACATCGAGTGATGTGTCGATCCTCATGTTTGCTGGGTCGTATATTCCAAAGAAATTGTCAAACAGACCCCTCAATCCATGGAAATGCCCAAAATCCAATATGGCGGCCGATTTTGGCTCTTCAGCGACCAAAACGTCCAATACTGCGCTAAGAGAAGAGTAAACAATCGAGATCTGTGTTTTCGAGGTTGCAGATTCCCAAAAAACGGTTTAAAAAAATATTTCATGCCAAATGGTCCGTGTAAGGGTCAAATTCAGCCGCCATTTTGGATAGAGTGTTCCTGACACTCCGTGGCAAAAGCACTGTTTAAAAAAAAAAAAAAAAAAAAAAAAAAAAAAAAAAAAAAAAAAAAAAAAAAATATTGTCTACCGGCCAAGATAAGGCTATCTGTATGTATTTTGAGGTGCTGAATCCGAATGACGCTTAAATTTTCCGGATGAGCCAATTTACCCGGAAGAATGGTCATTTTTGGTGCTTTTACGATTGTCACCCCCTGCAGAATGTAGGTAACTGTTTTCTCAGAAACAAGAAAGAGCCAGTTCGATGTATTTTAAGCTGCTTAGTCTGAAAATGGCCTTTACTCTTCCCTACCACCTCTCAGTTTTCCGGAAAAGCTACTTTTTCCCTGGAATATGAACAAATTTGACGGATATTTGTCATGCATGCAATTTATTTTTATATATCTTCTTGGACCTAAAGCAGAAGGAATCTTATGTATTTGAAGCTGCTGAATCCAATATGACCTCGATTTTTTTCATCACCCTCCAGTTTACCGGTAAAGCTGGTTTTTCCTAGCCAAAATGTGTGTAAAAACTTTCCCTGACTCAAAGTGTATTAAGAAGACATTTTAAGAATGTCTTTGATGTGTGATGCATGGATCCGTAAGTATTTTGAACTGTTGAATCCGAATATGATCTCAGATTTTTCCTATCACCCACCATTTTCCTGAAAAACGAGCTTTCTAGATATTTTTGCGTCAATTCTCCTGTTCTAAGAAGTTTTAGGAATTTTGGGAGATCCTCTTTAGGTCTCTCCTGATGTATTAAGAGCCTCTGAACTCGAATTAGTACTCTTATAGAACTGTATAGCCGGGATGGTATTTTTATTTTTCAAATTCTACTTTCATGAACAAAAAAAAAAAAGAAATAACAGCGAACTGAGCGACAAGCACTAAGACACGCTATAGTCATTCGGCATTTCTTCCAATGCACTCCTTTTCGCAGGAACAAATATATGACATTCTATGATCTTCTGTGTTGAAGCCATTTGGTCACTTGGTCAGTGAAACTTTTTTTAAATTCTGAAACTATTGTTTTCTTCAACTTCTGAAGTTTGGGATCAGAAACCATTTTAACGCTGGAGAAACTTTCTAAAACAAAATTGAAAACTTGAAAGTGACCAATAAGGGTCCGGAATATGACCTAAGATTGTTAAAATGGGTAGAATAAAAGACGAGAATGGTCACAGAGGAACGCTTTATATGTTCATTTTTTTTTGTCACTGTCTCCTCATACTATTGGTTCTTATGAATTACCATGCTTAAATAAAAAGAATAATTTTGCAAATTAAGGCCCTGCATGGTTTAACGGTTCTATGTTTTGCCGTTGTAAGCTATCAAGTACCATGTCAGAGGATGAAGAAGCATCCCATGAATTTTCTTGAGAAGCGCTAGGCATGAGAATGGACAACATTTACTTACGTTTACCGGAAATGGTGGTCTGCTGAACAGTATTTTTTTACCATTCTTACATTTGGTGCAACATTCTTGGACTTGGAAAAAAAAATGGCTCCATGTAAAATCATAACTAAATTCAAATATCCAGGGACATGCCGTCGTTTCAACTAGTCAACATTAGCAGCTTCTGGTGCGATTGGAATCGTTAATAAATTTGAGAAGCACGAAAACCGTAGGCGAGTAGGTTTCGCAATGATCATCTGGTATGTGAAAGGACACAATTACATTCAGGAAACGAAACGTCCTAAGTGAAGCAGTAGGACATAATTTGCAGTAAGGTGTATTGCACCATGAGTTACATGGGTTAATTCTGCATTATTTGGCACAAAGATGTAACTGAAAAATTCTATGACGACAACATTTTGTTTTGAGAGTCTTTTAAATGTATGTACGTTTATAGTGATCAAATGTCCAATTTTTTTTTCTTTTTAAAAAAAATTATAATGTCTAGTCTAATTAATTTTTCTTGTGTAAAAATACCCCCTAATTCCGAGTGTCAAGCAAAGTCATTACCAAAAAACGAGTTGCCAATCTCGGCCATTTTGTATTATAACTGGCCACTATTTTGAAACGGTTTGAGGTATTGACTTCAAGTTCGTGCGCAAAATTTTCTTCTTTATTTTCCTCGAATGGGGTATTACGAAGGGAGTCTTTCCGTTTCAAAAAAAAAAATTGGGGTCCGATATCACCCAAGGAGCCCCCCTGAAAATCTATGGGGGGCAAAAAGTAACTCCCTTTGACCTAGAAGTATCCCATAAGCCTTAAATCCTCAGTTCAATGAGGTAAAAAGTAAGAGGGAGAGGGGATTTCACGGTCTTGCACACGTCCGGCGCCACGCACAGAGAGAAAATCAGCCGACCTATCACCGAAAAAGTCGGAAAATTGGCATAAATGAAAATGGCCATAATTGGTATGTATGTGTTCCTAAGGATCCTCAAGAACACATAGCATCGACGAATTTAGTTTCCTGCAGAGTCTCTGGTGACTACTTAGCGACGGCGCGGCGTGGGGCGTTGCCTGATAATACTTTTATGAAAACGCACTCGTTCCTCTGTGAGCGCGTAGTCACTAACACAGACGCACATGAAACACACACAAACAAAATCGATCATTCACCGTCAGGATTCGCATTTTTGGCTCTTTGGAATGTAAACGAAGATTGGTAAGAATGTATTGCGCATCGATTTCTATCCTCACTCGCCTCTCGTTTTTGTGACCAGAGCAAGGAAGAGAGGACCCTATTCAAAAGCGGCCATTTTCAACCGTGTCTGAGAATCTTCGAAATATTTTCAGAGTTGATAGAGGATTACTCTTAGAGTCCAAAACACTGACGATTTTTGAAATCTGACAATCACGGGGGAGGAAGAGGGCAGTCAAAGTAAGAATTTGAACTCGCATATCTCGCTAAATAGTTTGTTGTAAAGGAATTCTCTTGGTCTCAAAATTGAGAAAACCACCAGCTTTCAGGCAATGTTTAAAAAATTGGTCCATTTTGAAAATTTCATTCATTGCTTCCTCGTTGCAGCAGCTCAAATTTTCAAATTTTCACTTTTTCATTTTCACATTTTCAGCTGTGACGTTGAGGGAATCGCACAAAAAGTAACAAAAATATTTTCTGATGAAAGTAGACCGTTGAAGCTTTCAAACCAGCACAAGTTCATCTTGGGGAAACAAGTTGGAGGAGCGATATGATTTTTCAAACCGGATGCAATACACTAGAAC